CTCTCTCTCTCTCTCTCTCTCTCTCTCTCTCTCTCTCTCCTCTCTCTCTCTCTCTCTCTCTCTCTCTCTCTCCCCTTTTTTTTTACAAATGGTTTGACAAGGTTAGGTTAAGGATCCCTAGCTTTATTGACAAGCTATTTACAGGTTTAGGATTCCCAACTTTATTGACAAGCTAAGACCTGTTACCTACATCAGCTCATTTGAAAGCATTTTTATTGTTATGAAACATACAAGTAGGGAACAGGGTGAAGTTGGAGCCACCTGTGGGCCAGCATATTCATTTGATCAACTGACTTTATCTCGTTGACATCATGATGCTGTACGAATGTGTTCCATAGTCGAGTCATCCTGGGGATAAATTATCTCAGATGAAGTGATGTTCTGGAGAAGGGTACAGCCAGAGTGAAGTTGCTGCTTTCTGCCCGTTTTGTGGTATAGAAGCTTGCTTCTCGCTGTCCTCGAAGTGGAGCCAAGTTTGGTACTTTGACAATATTGGCCTTGTGTATAACAGTAAGGCCACCCACATCCCTCCTGTGTTGAAGGCTCTGCTGAAATGACAGATCTATCCAGGATTGGTTCAGACGAGAGATGAGACGTCTTGCTCTCTCCTCTACTCTGTCAAGCAGTCGCAGATGAGAAGGGGGGGAGGGCAGGCGAACCAAGAAAGTGGAGCATACTCAAGGTATGAGTGTACTTGTGCCTTGTACAAAATCTTGCAACCCCTGCTATCAAGCAAATGCGAAATACGGCGAAGTGCTGTAAGCTTCCTAGCTGCCTTGTTTGCAAGATTTACAGCCTGGTTTTTCATGGTCAGTTTGCAGTCAAATTTCACCCCAAGGATATCAACTTCTTCCCCAGGTGCCAACACCCTCCCACTCATCCTTTCTACTGCACCGGCATTACTATCATGGTGCCTAGAGATTATCATCATTTGTGTTTTCTCAGGTGCAAATGTTACTTGCCATCTATTTCCCCAAGCTGATACAGATCTGAGCTAGTGATTGATGTTGCTTAGAGCAGCTGGCATTTTTTCTCTTGGATAAGTGAATGTCAGTGTACAGTCGACTGCATATGCATGGGATTCTGGGATGAGATGAAGGTCATTGAAGTAGACATTCCATAACAATGGTCCCAGAACGATTCTTTGTGGAACACTTGCCCCAATAGGATGTCTTGCTGATTCTGTTCCATTGAGAACTACCCTTAGAGATCTACATGAAGGTAGTCACTGAGGAGACATAGCGTAGAGCCTGCAATTCTCTCTCTCTCTCTCTCTCTCTCTCTCTCTCTCTCTCTTCCCATGTCACGCTTCTGTGAGACAGGATTTATCAACACACTTCCTTCTAGTAGGTGCTCCACCTCTCTTGATAATCTTCTCCTACATACTATGCATGTCAGTGATACCGACCTCTAGTTTAGCCCTACATGCTTGCCCCTTTCTTAAATATTTGCTGTCTTCCACTCCTATGGTAGTTGTTCTGTGTTTATTGAGTTGTCGATGATTGAGGTTAGTGGCTCACACAGTGCCTCCACTCCCTCTCTCATGACCCATGGAGAGATATCTGATTCAAGTTCCTTGAAAGTATCTAGCATGCACAGTAGTTTCCTCACCTCTTCTCTCGTTGTGTGCACTGTTCAGTACCGTTCAGTCTCCCTCTTTGACTCTGGTAACGTCTTTGCATCCTCGCAGAATATCTCCCAGAATATATATTTTGTTGAGCTCCTCACAGACTTCCTAATCATTTCTTGTGAGCTTCTTCCATCCTCAGCCTGATTACCTCTGTGTGTACTCACCTGTTTGTAGTTGCAGGAGTAGATTCATAGCTCCTGTGTGTGTGCGTATGTGTGTGTGTGTGTGTGTGTGTGTGTGTGTGTGTGTGTGTGTGTGTGTGTGTGTGTGTGTGTGTGTGTGTGTGTGTGTGTGTGTGTGTGTGTGTGTGTGTGAGAGAGAATTTGAGAACCCCAAGATAAACAATTATCTGAGTTCATTTACATGAACACAAAAGTGACTAAACCTAGATAACACCTAGGTAATTACCTCTAGCTCAACACCTAGCTGAGTATCTCTAGAGGAACACCTACGTGAGCACACCTAGAAGAATACCTAGGTGAGTACATCAAGATGAACACCTAGGTGAGTACATCAAGATGAACACCCTGGTGAGTACATCAAAATGAACACATAGGTGAGTACATCAAGATGAACACCTAGGTGAGTACATCAAGATGAACACCTAGGTGAGCACACCAAGATGAACACCTAGGTGAGCACATCACATTGAAAATATAGGTGAGTACATCAAGATGAACACCTAAGTGAGCACATCTTGAAGAATACCTAGGTGAGTACATCAAGATATACACCTAGGTGAGTGCATCAAGATGAACATCTAGATGGGTACATTAAGATGAACACCTAGGTGAGTACATCAAAATGAACACATAGGTGAGTACATCAAAATGAACACCTAGGTGAGTACATCAAGAAGAATACTTAGATGAGTACATCAAATGAACATCTAGGTGAGCACATCTAGAAGAACACCTAGAGGAGTACATAAAGGTGAACACCTAGGTAGGTACACCAAGATGAACACCTAGGTAAGTACATAAAGTTG